AAAACGTTGGGCACAATATTGGGAGAAACTAGTCTCTGGAGAGGGACACCATGTTTGGAAAAGTAGAGGGTCATCAAAAGAGAGGAGGAGATTTAATGAGATGATCGACTGGTAACTGCAGCAAGGACTTAACCACACCAGAGATTGGGAGGGTGGCTCAAGATTGGGCAGTTTTTCATTCTGTTGTTCGTAGGGTCCTTATGAGCCAGCGCCAAGTCTTAGCACCTACCAACAAGACACAAATGAGTTTTGGGGTTTTTTTTAGGTATTATTTTGTAGTATTATGACTAAATGGATTATGTTGTAAACTGTAAGCAATATTATTTTATATTCCATTATAAAAGAAAAGCAAACATCCTATTTCATTTAAATACATCTGTTTAATTAAAATTTACATCCTCACTAGGTATGGATGGCAGAACAGAAAATATCATATGATAAGAAGAAACAAGAAGAATTAATGCAACAGTATCTCAAAGAACAAGAGTCATATGATAACAGGTAAGAAATTACACTAACATTTATAAACTGATTCCCTGCTGAACAAGTAGTTGTCAGCTTTTTTATATTGACTCTCCCAAGAACAGGAATTTATCCTATTTCTTATGAAATATTTTTTTACCTGTAAATGGCTACTTTCTACAATAATTCACTTAAAACCCAGATTCATGTGACATATTTAACAGTCTGTGAGCAAGTCCTAAATGCATCAGAGCTTAAAAGAACAATTCAAGTCTATACTTTAATATAAAAACACAAGAATATATAAGAATATAAAGATCTTTTTTTTAACATACACTCAAATGAAATGATGCACAGGACAACTTCAAGAGGAAAAATGACGTTTCTCTAGTTTAACTGCATGTTACTGTTACTTCAGTCACAAGCTTTTGTTACTGTTACATACTCTCTAGTCAGAACCAACAGCTAGCTGACCCTCCAGTGGAGTTTCAAAGGGTCAGTTCAATGGGAGGAGATTGCCCATCTTTCTCCCCCTCAATGGCAGGAGCATTTCTAAATTTCTTCATTGATTTCTCTTAGCACAGTACCTACCATTCTAGCTGATGTCATTGTATGTTGCAAGTCTAACACAAAAGATAATTTTTTATTTTCTTGATGAATCAAGCAAATGAGGAGTAATGGTACCTTAGTTACATATAACATACTTGGAATTTGCTTTAATCTGAACTTATAGAACAATACATTTTCTCCTCGATCATCTTTTTCATCAAAAGTATGTGAGTAATACTAAATGATTATTAAATATTCTCTAAAACATAATCCTGTGTATCAGGAGCAACATTAATAGCTAACACTCTTGGTTCAAGTGCCTGTATTTCTCACCAATTTTACCCAAGCTCATTTGCTTTATTTTTGGAGTACTTACTTGTGGTGGTAATGGTGTGTGCTGTCAAATCAGTTCTAACCCAAAGCAGTGCCAGGTGATAGTGTGGAATTGCCCCCATGAGCTTTCCTCGCAGTAGTCTTTACAGAGGCAGATGGCAAGGTATTTCTACCTCAGAGCTGCTGGGTGAGTTCAAACCTCCAGCCTCTTAGTTTGCAGCTGAGTGCTTTACCAGTATGCCACCAGGTCTGATAAGGACATAAAAAATGCCTGAAATGTAGTTTTTCTCTACATAAAGAAGGTCTCATTTCTTTTAGACTCCTTATGGGAGATGAACGTGTAAAGAATGGCCTTAACTTCATGTATGAAGCCCCACCAGGAGCTAAAAAAGGTACGGGCCTCACTTTTTTAAGTCTTTGATGTGCTTATAACTAAAGATTGAGAATTGCTATAACAAGTATTTAAAGAAAATGAAATATCATTTCTTGAAATTGTTATTATTATATGAAATTAATTAAAATAGTATAAGAGAATACATATTAAAACATTTGCTTAATTTAATGTGTTTCATAATGTGTGAATTGGAAAGAAAAAAAAAATAGCAGAGGTACATGTATTTCACAATTTATATGTATATATCCTTGTTGTTGTTGTGTGCCATCGAGTCAGAAGTGACTCATACCTGACCTTTCAGCGGATTTTCCAAGGCAGTAATTCCTATGGGAGGAGATTGCCCATCCTTCTGCAGCGGAGCAGGTGGTGGGTTTGATCCGTGTGCCTGTGGGATTGCAGCACAGCTTCTCACCAGTAGGCCACTTTTTTATGTGTTTGTGAATAGAAGGAATGAATTTGTGAAGAAAGGCCAAGCAGACAGGAGACAGAAGACCATTTCCATTTGCTTTTTCCAGGAGACAGTGTAACATTTCTGGAGCGGGGGTCTGTGCTCTCCACGGAGGAATTGAGGTGGCAGACTGCTGCTATTCACACTCTAGGATACTGTGTACAGCTCTTTCTAAAATGGAGTCAGCTTCTACAATACCTTCACTGTGCTCCAGGATGAAGTTTTCCAGACTTTTTTCCTGCAAAGCCATGGGTGTAAAGTTGGGGAAGTCTAACGTCACAGAGCTACAGGCTGTGGAGTCACTCTGGGACTGCCTCCCAGCCTTTTTAAGTTCTAAGATGTTATTAAATGTTGTTTTCAGGCTCTTACTGAGCTGGAGGTTTAGATCAGGCTGGCCAGACCATTCATGATGTCTGTGTGTAAAACTTCATTCTTTGGGGAATTCCTCAGGGGTTTGTCTTGAAAGGAATTATTACATGTCATCTCCAAGTGAGAGTCTACTAAGATGCTTGAGAGCTTGCTCTCAGGACCAGAATCTGGTCTGGATGAGGTTTCCAGGGGCCACTTAGGCCCCAGAGAGCGTTCGCTGGCCTTCGTGGAATCTCTCCAGCTGTTTTTCTCTTCAGGTGCACCCCAGTATTGGACTGACTGGACCCACTTTGTCACATTTCAGTACTTTACCTAGGCATTCCATTTTTTCAGAAACATTTCCTTCCTCAGAGACCATGATGTGGTTATGTACTAGGTGAAGTTGGCCATGATTCATGGGATCTGCTGTGCCCCCTTTGGCTCAGACTCTGTTTTGAGCCTTGACTGTTGGGCGTGGGGAGATGATCATTTTACAGCTATAATGGTCACTCCTGCCAAATTGCATTTCACTGGCACCTTGATCAAGTTTGAAGGAACAGAAGAAATCAACCTGAAAGCCATCAGGATGAACAAGTGCCAGACATTTGTCAGTCATCACCATCTCAGCAGAAGTATGAATCCTCATGGCATCTTCTAGAAGCAGACATCTGTATTTGTTTAGCATAGCTTGAATCCTTTTAGGAGCTGAGTGGCAACTGTCTCAAATTCATTATCCACTTTCCTCAAGTCCTCCTGGGTAGGCATGGAGCCCTGGCACACATGGTAAGAGAGCAGCCTCTGTACCAAAGTTTTTGGTAATCAGAACTGACTCTTATGAAGGGTCACAGCATGGGCATGGCCCCTCTGTAACTGTGGAGAATGAAAGCTCTGTTAATTAGCTGTTTTACAGCAGACCTTTTCTGACCTCCTGTGTGAGTGTCCACCTGCAGAGTTGGCTGGCCAGAAGGTGATCCCACTACTTTTTCTTGCTGTGGCTCTGTGGTTCCTAAGGATGCTGGTAGAACTTTGCTTCTAGAATCCTGCCCTGGCAGCATGATGTTCAGGAGACTGAGGATCTACGTTCAGGAAACAGGAGCTGCATTGGCCTCGGGCCATCTGTGGTCTTAGAGCTGGGGAAGGTCTGATTCAAAGTATTTTTCTGAGCCTGACAGAATTGCTGCTGGGTTCCTACTCCAGGTGTGTTACTGAAGGTGCTAATAGATTTGGAAGATGGTGAGACACACTGGTCAGTACTGGAATCCTGTTTGGCTGAGGCATCCAATCTTGCATAAAGATTGATCCTGGTGCACCAGATTGAACTACAGAGCCAAGACTTGATGAGTGGTACTGGGTGAACTAACCACAGGGAAATGACTAGGTCCTGCAGTGCTTGTTTCGAGGGCATGGTGGTAAAGCCAGATCTTCCTTAGGAGTTACTGCTCTGCCCAGGTGACAAGTGTAACATGGTTGGTGATGCCTGCTGCAAGGGCATCTGTCCACCAACAATCTGAGGTGAAATGTAGGCCTCTTCTTACTGGCTATATGCAGAGTCATTCCTGTTGCCATCAAGTCATTTCCAGTTTATAATGACACTATAGGGCAGAGTTGAACTGCCCCAGTTTTTAAAACTTCCTCGTCTTTTTCCCTCAGAGCACTTTAACCAATATGCCACAGTGATCTATATACTCATAAATAGAAAACATAATATTCACTGTCACTGAAGTGTTTTAAAATTAGGAATTATTATGCTTATTAAATACTGTCTCTTATTAATACTGTGTTTTATTCTTTTTGTGTTCATGTAAAACATGGGGAAAAGTAAAAATGATAAATTCTTACAAAGTATTGTTAAATGCTCTGGTGACGTAGTGACTAATAATTAAAGTTTTTAACTTAGCATTTTTTTTCTCTTCACATTCATTGGATATTCAATCAAGAAAACAAAGAGGTAAAGCTCCATTTTCTATGTTTCAATTTATTTGAAGTCAATTGCAATTTTTCTACATTATTCATATATTTCAAATGTCATTTTGAAAATTAAAATAATTTTTATTCATATTTTTAGAAAGAAGAAGCAGAAGGAGAGACTGAATACAAATTTGAATGGCAGAAAGGTGCTCCACGAGAAAAGTAAGAACTTGGTGGTGATTTTGTTTTTTAAAAGATAAAATATATATCATTAAAGTTACCTTATACTGCCTTTATATTTTCCAGAGGAGACAACTAATATAAAGACATTTTTCTTTTTTTTTTTACAGTTACTTGAGTGAAACTTTACAGAGCAAATTAATTTTTCATTCAATTATTCATACATATTAACTCTATAATGTTAATTTCCATATCTGCTTTATAATAACACTTTTCCTATTTCTTCCCTGTAGTTATGGTTTTCATTAATTTTTTTAAAAATTAATTTTAGTAAATATTTACAGAGATTTTTGGATTTCCATTCATTCATTGCTGCACTTTTCTCCCTGCCCACCCCTCCCCACCAGTTCACTCCTCTCTTTGAAAAGAAAAAGAAAAAAAAATTCCTTCATTGGTATACAATTCCCCCATCCCTTCTCCCCTGCCCAACCCCCGCACCAAGTACACTTCTCTATGCAACCTTAATTCTGTACTCCTGTGCTAACCATTATACTCAATCATATATCACCTCTAATCTGTTCTTTCCCTCATCTGTTTCAATACAGTATACATAATTTATCCAGTTTTTTCTCAGTCTTACCCCAACCCTGATGTCAGACCCATTCTACAACAGTGGCATCATGCAGTATTTGTCCCTTTGTGACTGAGATATTTCACTCAGCATAATGTCCTCCAGGGTCACCCATTTTGAATAATACTGCATCAGTTCCTTGTTTTTCAATGCAGCATAGTATTCCATTGTGTGAATATACCACAGCTTCTCTGTGCATTCGTTTGTTGATGGGCACTTAGGTTGCTTCCAACTCTGCTATTGTAAACAAAGCTGCGATAAAAGTTTTTATTAATCTTTTTATACCACCACAGTGTCTTCCTTTTATTTAGTGACATTGTACTAATCATTTCATTATTTATTGCCTTTCCCTTCACCCTTCCTAATGTATGTCTATTACCAATTTAACAAATTCTGGTGTCTTAGTGGTCAGGAGTTACACAACCAACCAAAGGCATGGATTTCGGATCCACCAGGTACTTTGTAGGGAAGAAGGGCAGTCTCCTCCCATGCAGTGTACTCCCTCTGCTGTGAGTCACTTCTGACTCACTTGTACCTGACAACAGTAATGACCTATTTACTAGTTCTTACTTCTCTCTTCTCATTCCTAATAGCTATCCAAGAATGATTTTCAATGTGTGTAATCCTTTTCTTAGTGATAAGAAATTTTAATGTGTCTCATTTATGATTAATTCATTTGATCATAGTCTTACTGTTGTTCTATATACATCTTCATATTTTCAATGACAGATCGTCAGACAGGACACATAGTATAATTCAGTATCTTTTGGAAAAAATGAGTAGATTTTATAATTATATATACATGTTGAAGTCTGTAATGTAGAATGTTCTTGGAACTGAAAAACTTTTTCATATTGTTATTTCATTCAATTTTTCTTAAATTATAAATTTTTTTGTGTAATAGATATGCCAAAGATGACATGAATATCAGAGATCAACCATTTGGTATTCAGGTATGTGATACGTATTTTATTCTGTAAGGATAATTTTTATTTAATATTTCTTTTATTGTGCAAATGATGTTTGAGCTGAAAAGGTGCTATGTTTCCATTTGAAATGATAATAGAATGATCCAAACCTACTGTCAGCAGATCAGTTCCACACATATCAATTCTGTAGAAGAGAGTAGAATTGCTTGCCAGGTTTCCAAAGCTATAATTCTTTACAGAAGCAGATTGCTTTATTTTCTGTAGAGTAACTGATGGGTTCAAATTGCCAATCTTTTGGGTAAAGCCAGATTTTTTAACTACTGCCACACCATGGCTATAATAGAAGAAACCCCAAAACCAACCTACTGCCATTGAATTGATTTTTACTCAAATTGAACCTCCATCAGTTTTCCAAGGCTATAAATTTTTATAGGAGGAGACTACCTATCTTTCTACTTGTAAAGAAAGTAAAGACAACATGGGCTGGCCAAGTCAAACCTCTGTTAATTCCGTAAAGGGATTATTGATGTTTCCTTCAATAATCCACAGTTCCAAACTAATGGCTACAAGGTCAGACACAGCCCCTCACTCTGTTACACATGTTGTTTTTATATGCCGTTGAGTCACTTGCAACTCATAGCAACCCTGTGTACAACAGCCCTGCTCTATCCTGTGCCAGTCGCACTGTCTTTGACACACCCACCCCGATTATCCTAGACACTGAATCAATCCACCTCATAAAGGGCCTTCCCCTCTTGCGCTGTCTGTCCACCCTCCCAAGCATGATGTCCCTCTCCAAGAACCGGTCCCTCCTTGAAACATGTCCAAAGTATGTCAGATGAAGCCTCAGAATCCTTGCCTCCAAGGATCAGCCTGGTTTAACCCTCTCCAGAATGAACCTGTCTATTTTCTTAGCTGTCCATGGTACATTCAATACTCTTCTCCAGCACCACTGCTCAAAGGCATCAATTCTCCTTCTACCATCCCTAGTTATTGTCCAACTCTCTGATGCATAACAGGTGATTGCTAAGACCCTGGCCTCTATCAGGCACACCTTAGTCTCCAGAGTGGCACCATTGCTCTTCAGTACTTTGGAGCGGTCCCTAACAGCAGACTTTCCCATCGCAATGATGCTGTTGTTGTTATGTGCCATTGAGACACTTGTGATTCATAGCGACCCTATGTGCAACAGCCCTAAACTCTGCTCTGTCCCATGCCAATCGCACCATCTCCGAGACACCCATCCCAATTACTCCAGTCACTGAATCAATCCACCTCATAGAGGGGCTTCCCCTCCTGCTCTGTCCCTCCACCCTCCCTAGCATGATGTTCCTCTCCAAGGACCAGTCCCTCCTTACAACATGTTGAAAGTATGTCAGATGGAGCCTCAGAATCCTTGCCTCCAGGGAGCCGCCCAGTTTAACCCTTTCCAGGATGAATCTGTTTGTTTTCCTAGCAGTCCATGCTACCATCAATATTCTTCTCCAGCACCACAGCTCAAAGGCATCAATTCTCCTCGTATCCTCCTTAGTCACTGTCCAAATCTCTGATGGCATAACAAGTGATAGCAAAGACCGTGGCCTGTATCAGATGCACCTTAGTCTCCAGAGAGACACCATTGCTCTTCAGTACTTTGGAGAGGTCCCTAACAGCAGACTTTCCCATGGCAATACTCTTAATTTCCTGGCTACTGGTGCCAAGAGTGTTGACTGTGGAGCCAAGCAAACTAAACCTGTGAACAATCTCATTCTCTTCACCATCCATCCTGATGCTGCCAGTTGATCCAGTGGTGAGAATCTTTGTCTTCTTGACATTGAGCCTCAATCCATATTGGAGGCTGCAGTCCTTGACCCTTTGCAGCAAGCGCTTCAGGTCCTCCTTAGTTTCAGCAAGTAGGGTTGTGTCATCTGCCCATCGCAATACGTTTTTTAATTTCCTGGTTGCTGGTGCCAAGAGTGTTGACTGTGGAGCCAAGCAAACTAAAGCTGTGAACAATCTCAATCTCTTCACCATCCATCCTGATGCTGCCAATTGATCCAGTGGTGAGAATCTTTGTCTTCTTGACATTGAGCCCCAATCCATATTGAAGGCTGCAGTCCTTAACCCTCTGCAGCAAACACTTCAGGTCCTCCTCAGTTTCAGCAAGCTGGGTTGTGTTAACGGCGTAACGCAGATTGTCATGATGGATCTTCCACCATTCCTGATGCCACACTTCTCCTCATAGAGCCCAGCCTCTCAGATAATCTGTTCTGCGTATAGGTTGAAAAGGTATGGAGATAGGACACATTCCTGGCGTATGCCCTTCCCAATTTTGAACCATGCAGTGTTTCCTTGCTCTATTCTGACGACTGCCTCTTGGTCCAAGTATAGGTTTCGCATTAGCATGATTAAATGTTCTGCGATTCCCATTCTTCTCAGAGTCAGCCACAGTTTTTTATGATCCACACAGTCAAACGCCTTTGCATAATCAATGAAACACAGATAGACATTCTTCTGGTATTCCCTGCTTTCAGCTAAGATCCATCTAACATCAGCTACAATATCCCTAATACCACGACCCCTTCTAAACCCAGACTGGACTTCTGGCAATTCTCTGCTGATGTGCTGTTCCAGTCATTTTTGGATAATCTTCAGTAGAATCTTGCTTGCATGTGAAATTAATCATATTGTTCTGTAATTTCCACACTCTCTTGGGTCACCCTTCTTTGGAATGGAAACAAATGTAGATCTCTTCCAGTCAGTTGGCCAAGTGGTTGTTCTCCAGATTTCTTGGCACAACTTGATGAGCACATCTAGGGCAGCATGGGGCCTTATTTTTTGCTATTTCCTTCAAAGTAGCCCTAACTTCTTCCTTCATCCTCTTGCTCATATGTTGTTTCATGAAATTCTTCTGTGTCTGCCAATTCCTTTCGATACAGTGACTCAGTATATTCTTTCCATCTTCTTTTAATACTTCCTGGATCATTTAATATTCTGCCTAAACATCCTTGATTATAGCAACTTGAAGTTTGAATTTGTTCTTCAATTCCTTGAGCTTAAGAAATGCTCAACTAATTACTGAGTCTGAGATAAATTACAAATGACCTTAAAAGACTTTACAGAATCTCTTTTAAACTTTCAGTTTTGGAATTTATTAATTGATAATAGTTGAGGATGAGGGAAAGCAAAGGATATCACAGTGAATGTCCAGATTCAGTAAAGAGCAGTCCAGAACCAGGTTAACAGGAAGACAGTGTTTCACTTAGTCCAGACAGCTTCTCAGTCAGTAGCAAGATACTGGCATAGGAACCTCCAGTCCCAAGAATGCACACTGCTTTCTCTTCTGCTTTCCTTGTGTTGCAGTTCCTATCTCAAGGTCTCTGGCTCTGGCTTTATCTGGATTTTCCTTACCACAGACTCTATAGTCTGATTAGCTTTCTCTTCTTTGTTGGTCTCACAGCTGTTGATGTGGTTGAAGATGTTAATCAGTAGTGAGCTTGTGTCCACATTTGAGGCAGCTGGAGACCACACCCCCAAGGGAGCTGAGAGTGGCAGTTAGAGCCTCAAAGATTCATTTTACTTATATATTCTTATCTGACCATATGGTCTGATCTACAGCCGTGGATAGAAAAGTCATTCTTAAAAATCCACACTCCCTTAACAGAGCTGATAGATTCAAACCACTGACCTTTCCGTTAACAGTACAATATGTAATGCACTTTGACAGTAGAGGTTCTTAATAGAAGGAATAAAGGAAGAAAAATTAAGTACAATAAACTGGTAAAAGATAAAAATCAAAAGTTCTGTGAGTAAAGATTATAGTTACTGATTTTTGCCGTTTTCAAGGAATTTGGAGGATTTCTTCAAGGTCAGGAAGAGATGTAGACTATTACTAGTTTAAAACCAAGGCAGACTATCACCAGACCAAATTACGGTTTTAAATGAAGTATACTGGAGTACAGCAGTACTTATAAAATTAGAGATGATTTAGTCGTGACATAGTTCTTTTTTGTACTTCACCAAATCTTTTTGTATGACATTGTTTTTTTTGTCACCATTTAAGTAAGAGGTCAAAACAAATAGTATTCATCTTAACTATGAAGTGTAATTTGAATTAAAAGATTTTAGTATCTGCTCCATTACCAAGCACACTTGGAGAACTTCTAAGTCTTTAAAAATGAAATTATATATCTTAAGCTCTCTCTAGAAATAGATTATTAATTTTGGTTATATTTTTAGTATTTTAGTAACTAAAAATAACAATCAACTGTTTTTCAGGTTCGAAATGTGAGATGCATTAAATGTCACAAATGGGGCCATGTCAATACAGATCGAGAATGTCCTTTGTTTGGTCTTTCTGGAATCAATGCAAGTTCAGTTCCTACTGATGGCTCAGGTAAGACAAGACTTACCTGTTTGTTTTGGGAGAACAAAGGGAGAGATAATAACATTTTTCTGTAATCTCTTGATGTTTTTTGGTTGTGGTTTGTTAGCTTTTCGGGGGGAAGGATTTAAGACTAAGGCATGTTTCTGAAATTTGATTATAAATGGGAAAGTATGAGCATATATTCTGAATTTTATATCTGTGTAATGATATTTACTCTTTCTAGCAAGTGATCCTTAATATATCTTTTATAGTGAAAGATATATTAATATATATCTGGGAATAAAATACCTAGGAATGAATTTAACCAAGAAGGTGAAAAATTTGTACACTGAAATTGAAGACATTAATGAAAAGAGATCTGCATAAATGGAAAAACAATACATGGATTGAGAAATTAAATATTGTTAAGAAGTCAATATTATTAAGGTAGCTCTGGTGGCCTAGTGCAAGAAGCTGCACTATAATCCCAGAGGTGTATGGTCAAAACCACCAGATGCTCTGCTGAAGAAGGAGGGACAATCTCCTCCTGTACCAGTCAGATCAAATTTGATGGTACACACACAAAATATACTAAAATAAAAAAATTTTTTTTTAAAAAAGATGTCAGTATTATCCAAAGCAATCTAAATTCAAAATTCTTAAAATGTTTGCAAAAAAGGGAAAAGCCTAATTCACATGGAACCACAAGGAACTCCAAACAACAGAAGTAATCTTGAAAAAAGAAAACAAAGTAGAATTCCACACTTCCTAATCTCAAAATATATTGTAAAGCTACTGTAACCATAACAGCCTTGTTCTGGTATAATTTTAAAAAGGGCAATAGAATAGAATTGAAAATATGTGAAAATAAGCCCATAAGTGTTTGACCAATACTGATCATAAAGTACTATGTGACTCCACTTACATGAAATATCTAGAATAAACAAATGAATGGGGAATGTAAGTGGTTCTCAGGCAAGTATGGGAGAGAGGGGAAAAGTAATTACTTAGGGATAACAAGCTACTAAGAATGATGGAAAATTTAGAAATGGATAGTGATGATAACAACATGGTGGGTATAATTAATATCACTGAATTGTACAGTAAAACTTGCAAAATCTAGAACCTTTGTGATACAGAAATCTTTCAGAGAAGGAAAACTCAGAATATTATCTATTAAAATGAACACTAGGAAAGTAGTAGCACTATTTATGCCCTGCCCTAGGTGAACAAGACAGTCCCATCATGCTCTGGCTGTCATAGGTTTTACTATACATGTTAAAAATGTTAAATTGGCAACTGTTTTGTTACAGGTTTTTTTACCACAATTACTTATATACAGATTTATTCTGAGAAGCCTATCACATCCAAAAGATACTTGTTTTCTGCAAGTTTGAAACAGTTGTAGGCAAAACTGATACCACAAAATATTCTGTCTCTGTACGGGTGTGTTTCTTTGTTTTGGGAAGGAAAATAGTATAGTAGAGAAGGAAAAGTAAGAATGTGATTTGAAAAGAACTTTCTTCAGAAAATCCTAAAAAGTAAATTTTTATTTCGATACCATTTTAATTTTTTGCTATTATAAACAGTCTAAATATACTGCACAGAAATAATGGAGAAGTAAATTGTGGCTATATTACGTGAATTAAAGAAGTTTAATTTAATCTACACTGTTATTCTAATAATATAAAACAACCTGCATATACATAAATACTATAAGAAAGCATGGAAAAATGAAAATAGTTGACATGTTGATTTCATGAAAATTCAGATGGTTTTCTTTTACTTATGTATGTAAAGGCTGCTCGGAATGACAAAGCAAAATACTACAATGAAATGTGCAAGGAGCTAGAGTCAGAAAATCAAAAGGGCCGAACTCGCTCAGCATTTCTTAAGCTCAAGGAACTGAAGAACAGATTCAAACCTAGAGTTGCTGTAATCA